GGTTGCACACGGGGGGGTGTTGCACATGGGGGGCACAGGGGCCGGTTACACAAGGAGCATGGGGGGGTTGCACACGGGGGGGTGTTGCACATGGGGGGCACAGGGGCCGGTTACACAAGGAGCATGGGGGGGTTGCACACGGTGGGGTGTTGCACATGGGGGGCACAGGGGTCGGTTACACAAGGAGCATGGGGGGGGTTGCACACGGGGCGGGCTAGTTGCCGGTGGGCAGAGGCCGGTGGCACCCCCGTGCTGACCCACCCGCCTGGCCCCCAGGGTTCCGGCGGATCTGCCTGGACGACCTGCGGCGGGCGCCGGTGGTGCGGGACGTGCAGCGATACATCCTGTGCCGGCTGGAGCAGGAGGAGGGGCTGCGCCGGCGCCTGACCCACGAGACGGCCGAGATGTTCAACCAGCTGCGCATTAAGAGCAATGGGTGCGTTCTGTACCTGGAGCGGGTGCTGGATGGGGTGGCTGAAGGGTCGGTGGCGCTGCGGGAAATCCGCCACATCCCCGGCACGCTCAACGGCCTCTACCTGTGGCTGTGCCAGCGCCTCTTCACCGGCAAGCTCTTCGCCCGCGTGCGGCCGCTACTCAACGTGCTGGTGGCCGCGCCCCGCCCGCTGTGCCCCCACCAGCTCCACAGCACCCTCTGGGCGCGCCAGGCCGGCCCCGGCCCCAGCTGGGAGGAGATCCAGCGCCAGCTCGATAGCCTGGCCACGTTGCTGCTGGACGGCCCAGGCGGCACCCGGATCCTCTTCCACGCCAGCTTCGCCGAGTGGCTGCTGGACGTGAAGTACTGCACCCAGCGCTACCTGTGCAGCGCGGCCGAGGGCCACGGCCTGCTGGCCCTGAGCGCCGCCTGCCGTGGCCCCCAGCTCAGCCCCCGTGAGGTGCACGACCTGGCCCGCCACCTGCTGCGCGCCGACCTGCGCCTGCCGCCCTGCCAGCTGGCACTCTGGATGGTGTGGCAGGACGTGCCCGTGGCCCACTGCCTGCTGGCCGACCTGCCGACACTGCCGCTGGAGACGGACGTGCTGCAGCTGCTGGTGCTGGCGGGGGCGCGGCTGGGCGAGCGGGAGGCGGGCGCGGGGGCCCTGCTGCACCAGGCCCTGGAGCGGGAGGACTCTGTCCGCATGCTGCTGGAGAACGGGGCCAGCGCCAACCAGCGGGATGCCAACGGGCGCACCCTGCTGGCCAGTGCTGCCCACAGCGGCATCCCCGAGGTGGCCAGCCTGCTGCTGGGCTGGGGCGCCGAGGTGGAGGCGCCCGACCGGCACGGGCAGACCCCGCTGACGCTGGCCGCACTGCAGGGCCACGCTAAGTTCCTGCACTACCTACTCGCCCACGGCGCCAACGTCAACCACGCTGACCGGAGGGGCTGGACGGCGCTGCGCTCGGCCGCCTGGGGCGGGCACGCCGAGGCCGTGGGCACCCTGCTGCGGGCGGGCGCGGATGTGGACTGGCGGGACGTGGATGATCGCACGGCACTGCGGGCAGCCGCCTGGGGGGGGCACGAGGGAATCGTGCGGACGCTGCTGGCACACGGCGCCCAGGTGAACCGGGCCGACACTGAGGGGCGCACGGCCCTGATCGCTGCCGCCTACATGGGGCACCGGGAGATCACGGAGCTGCTGCTGGCGCACGGCGCTGACATCGACCACGCCGACGCGGACGGGCACACGGCGCTGTCTCTGGCGGCCCTGTGTGTGCCAGCCAGCTGCGGGCACGCCGACGTGGTGAGCCTGCTGCTGGAGCGCGGGGCGCACGCGGGGCACCGTGACCGACACGGCATGACCCCGCTGCTGGTGGCCGCCTGCGAGGGCCACACCGAGGTGGCCGAGCTGCTGCTGGAGGGCGGGGCCAACATGGAGCAGGCGGACGCCGTGGGGCGCACCCCACTGCTGGTGGCTGCCGCCATGGGGCACAGCACCATGGTGCAGACCCTGCTGCTGTGGGGCGCGGCTGTAGACGTCAAGGATGCCCAGGGCTGCACGGCTCTGAGCCTGGCGGCCGCCCAGGGCAACAAGCACGTGGTGCGGGCCCTGCTGGAGCGCGGGCTGGACAAGAACCACCCGGACGCCATGGGCTGGAGCCCGCTGCACTTGGCTGCCTGTGAGGGGCACGCGGGGGCCTGTGGGGTACTGGCCGAGCATGGCGCCCGCCTGGACCAGCAGGACCAGGACGGCCGCACCCCCCTCATCCTGGCAGCCCAGGAGGGCCACGGCGAGTGCGTGCGGCTGCTGCTGGGAAGTGGCTCCCCCGTGGATCACCGGGACCATGACGGGCGCATGGCGCTGGGCGCGGCTGCACTGGGGGGGCACCGGGCCATGGCCGAGCTGCTGCTGCGCCGCAGAGCTGACCCCAATCTGCCGGATGCCGCGGGGCGGCCCCTGGTCTACCTGCTGGTGCTGCAGGGCTGTCAGGACCTGCTGGAGCTGCTCCTGGCGAGTGGCAGCGACCCAGAGGCGCGGGACGCACAGGGGCGCACGGCGCTGCACGTCTCCTGCTGGCAGGGGCGGCTGGAGGCGGCGCGGGCGCTGGTGCACCACGGCGCTGACGTCAACGCGCTGGACACGGAGCAGCGCTCAGCCCTGCACTTGGCCGCCTGGCAGGGCCACGCCAGCACTGTGCGCTTCCTGCTGGAGCGCGGGGCACACGTGGACCAGGCCTGCAGCCAGGGCGCCACAGCGCTGGGCATCGCTGCCCAGGAGGGCCACGGCGAGGTGGCGTGGGCGCTGCTGGAGATGGGTGCCGACCCTACCCACACCGACCGGTACGGGCGCACGCCCAGCCATGTGGCCGCCCGGCGGGGCGAGGCCGCCATCCTGCGCCTGCTGCAGAGCCACGGGGTGCCCACCGCCACCACCTGCTCCCCACCGGGCGCCTCCGGCCACTCCTGCGCCAGCCCCCCAACCCCCACCGCCCCCAGCCAGGGGCCCGGCTCGGACTCGCCACAGTCCACAGCCGACGCCTCCCTGCACAGCTCCCGCGGCTCCACCTGCCCCTCCCTGGCCACGGCACAGACGGTGCCGGCCGACAGCCCGACCTTCACCCAGCAGCTGCAGCACTCGCTGCCCCGCAGCCGCCCAGCCCCCGCCCCCAAGAGCCCCCAGCCCAGCCTGGCACTGCCCGGAGCCCCAGAGCCGCAGGCAGGCAGCCCGGGGCGGGAGGTGCCATCCCCCGGGTGGGACCCCAAGCCCAACGGCCTCCTGCCCTGGCAGGATGGGGGGCCGACAGGGACCCTCTCCCTCCTCTCCCTCGCCACGCTGGACCCCCAGCTGCACCTCAAGCGAGCCGTCAAGCTGCAGTTCGAGGGCCCCACCTGCTGCAACGACCCCAGGAAGGAGACGCCACTGTGAAGGTGACAGGTTTCA